CAAGAGGCACCGATGTCAGATAAGCATGTTGAGGTGTCAGCCTGAGTTCAAAGCCTAAGTTCCTCATCTGTGGCAAGCTCATAAGCAAAGGGACTTCTCCTTCTTCCACTATGTCGAACTCTGTATGGTGGATCGTCCATGCACGATCATACATGTAAATCACCAGTTTCTGAGAGCAAGTAGCCTTCTGGGAATTGGCAAAGTAAAACTTGCTCTTGGTAGACTCAAAAGAGTACCATAATCCACAATCTGGGTGATTGTCGACATAGTTGCAAAAATGGTCGACTGCTCGCCTTGATCCCATAGCTCTAGTGCATCCAATGTCCAGGATTGCAATAGTTGGCGGGAAGCGATTCTCAGTCAAAAATGAAATAGCCTGCATCTCCTTCACTTCTTCCTCAGCGCTCATAAGCGCAAAGCCATCAGCGCTCATAAGCGCAAAGCCATCAGGAGCCTTTGTGAGCATCTCCTTTGACAACGAGTACCTCACAGGGGCACTCATGTCATCGAAGATCGTCTCATCATTGTTGACCACGCAGTCAGCTTTATCTTGGCATGAGGTCATCATGCCTGACAGCAAGTCCACCTCACTGTCATGGACTTCAGCTGCTGCTGTCACACAATGTGCAAAGAAACCTTGTTGACCTCCTGATGCTTGTGAAGATCTTGAAGGTGCAGGTAAAGAACGTGGCTGTTGTTGATTTGCATAGTTTGCATCTTGTTTGCCATCTCCTTTATCTTTTCCTTTTCCTTTCTTGCCTTTTCTCTTGCCTTTTCCTTTTCCTTTGTGGGAAAACCACGCTTCTTCAAGCTGTTGCCAAAAGTCATTGGCATCATCATATTCTCCTTGAAGATAGTCATTCATATCTTCGGCAAGAATAGCATCATATGCTCCTTGGTTTGACTCCCAAGTGTCCTCATAAGGATTCTCTTCAAAGTACTCTTCTGGATATGTTGTCTGTTGCTCATCAGCAAAATGGCCTTTACCTCGTCTCTTTCCTTTTCCTTTTCCACGAGGTCTGAAGAATCTGCGGCCTGATCTTCCTTTTCCTTTTCCTTTTCTTCTTCCTTTTCCATTGCCTTTTCTGGCTCTTCTTCCTTGGAATCTCCTTTGGAACCATGAGAAGTTTTGATCATCATATACCCAAAAGACATCGTCCAGGGCATCTAAAAATCCTTCAGTTCCATCTTCTTCATCTTCGGCCCAATAGCCAAATGTACCATCGAGTTCTCCTTCGTCTAGTACGAGAAATGATCTTCTACCTCCAGCACCTGTCGGCTGCATCAATGGATTGTCTACTGAAGTCTTTGTCGTGCAGAACATCTCGATGAAAACTGTCCTCAGCTCTGTTGTAGTGTATTGCTGCAGGTACCTGCCACGATGAGTCATCAACGAAGTCAAAGTGTTTCGCTGGTCCTGAGACAAATCTGCAAGGGACAGCATGAGTAGGGCAATGAGATTCTCTCCTAAAGGAAAATCATTCTGATGAAGAATTCTCATATTGCCATTGACATTCTGCATGATTTCCTGAATCCTTTCTGCCGTTGGTGCTACTCCAGTCAACGCTGCATCTGCCTGCATCTGAGCAAGGACTTGGGGATGTGCTTGAGTGACTGGTTCTAACATGTCCATCCAACTGCTCATAAGCCTTTGGAGTAAAATCTGGAATCTTGTCATCCATTTCATCATGTCAGCTGATCCTCGATTGAATCGCACGAATTGCATAAACCTGTATAGGAATACATTGGTTGATCCTTTCACGAAATATGGTCGTAGTACTCGTTTGAAGTAATCTACTCCTGCTCCTGGTGGCTCATTAGCCTTCAATGAATCTCTGTCTAATACACGTTTGTATACTGCTGCTTCTCCTTCTAATCTGTTTCTCAAAGCTGGTCCTCTCTTCTCATCTTCCAGCTCGGTGATATCACACCAATCGTCTATGGCATCCTCATAGGAAAACCATGAAGTCTTTCCATCATAAGATGGGGGCACCTTTGTAGTGACCTGTGTTGTCATTGCTATTGCTGCTGGTTCTCTTCTCACATGCCTATTCACGTAGGCTGCTGGCTCATAAGCCACATCCGCATCAGGCTCTTCCCAGTCGTCAATCCAATCCATGGCCGTTTGCCCACAAGCAATTCTATGCCTAGGAAAGGAGCTCACCTGGGTCTTCCAGGATCACTGCTCCGCTACCACTGAAAGAGTGACTAGGGCGTACACGGTAGAGGTGCAGACCGCTAGTGTCTTTTATGCGCAGAGTCTTATCCTCTTGCTCTTTGAGCCTTGAAGCAGTCAAGCATGGACACACTATATCAGCCGTTGGAGTGGAACCCTGTACAGGTAGGCTCTACTTTTCAGGGGGGGGCGGGGGGGGGGGCGGGGGGGGGGGTTAGCTTGATATATCAATCTTTAAGGCACGCAGCCCCTCCCACCACAACATTGCTAAAGCAAAGAAGAACTCAGCTAGCATGCTAGCTTTCGTGACAACTGGAAGGATCCAACTGCACCTCCTTTCTGAAGCTCATACAGCAGCAAGTGGTAACCTAAGAGCAAGTGACAAAGAGCTAAGGAGCAAACGACATGCGACATGCGCCTACTGTCCACCAGGACTGCGTGGACACACCAGTAGCGTCCTTGCTCTTAATAGCGATGCCCTTTGTTACTAGTAGCTTCTTGTTACTAGTAGTAAGGCCAGGAGCCACTAGTAGCGTCCTTGCTCCTAGGAGCCAAACATGTTGGGTGGACCTTCTTTTGGATCTCTTTAGTGCAACTGAGCCCTTGGAAGGCACATACTATTTGATCTCCTAGCGTCGGAGGTCTTTAGGCATTCTGCAAGGCTATGTCACGTGCTGTGTTCTCGTTTCTGCCAAAGACTTGCAACATACACATCTTGAACCTTGACCAATCAGACGAAAGCCTGACACAGCTGACTCTGTTTACTTACAATTTAAACCAAAGCGGCGATTAGGATCAGCATCCCTTCGCGTGTGTTGGCACGACAACTCGCTTGCCTGGGATGTGGGCGCGAGCCAACCAGTCCACAATCCATTTATGTAGACATGGGGGACACCACACGGGGTCCCAGTATTGACGGGAAAAAAGGGACATACACATGTGCACAATTTCATCTGAAGTGCATGAAATCATGTAATGACTGTATACTCAATGATGCAAACTACTGCACGCCATGCGTGACCGTGACCATGGTACAATGTATGACCAACTTGAATCTATTTCCTAATCTAATTTCCATTCATTTCCTTTCGAAGCAAAACTGCGCATCTTTGTTTCAAGTCTGTCTGCGCCTCAACATCGCAGGAAAGGGGTGCCATAGCGATCATCGCCTCGGGGAAAACGTCTGTTCAGTGTCATGAAAGAGTTCCGGAAGAAACGCGTTGAACGATCAGTTCAGCGTTCAACACAATGTGGTTTGGAACACCCACGCATCTTGGTTGTGAGCCACGTTGTTGTCACTGCTGGAATGCCTTTTGTGGGGCTCGCGAGGCTCCGCGGATACGAAGTGCCTTCGCGAGGCTGAGCTTCGCGGGTTCTTTTTGCTGACGTTCATTCAATTTTGCCAATCAAAATGTCGTCCCTTTGCGAATTGGCATCGCCTGTATCAGAATGGGAAACCTACTACGCAAGCAGCTTTGCTAGCCTTGCCCACACAGAGAATTGTACCCAGCACATGAGTGCCTTCCTGGATAATTTAGACAGTTCAAACCTTTTGGATCATTCCAAAGGCTGAGGAATTTGCATACAAATCCGACAAAAGGAAAGTGGAACTCCACAAATCAATTAAAGGTTGACAGTTCCAGTTCCCAAGTAACGGACATGCTCTAGCGCATGAAGTCCTCCTCTGTCGACAGAATGTCCTTCCTGCATTGTGGAATACAATTCGTACGGCCACCCGGGAATTTGTTCAAACATGTTCAAACAATGTCGCAATGTCAACCTGCTGCTTCTTCAGCCCCTAAGGCTAAACAGTTTTGCTGCATGTGTCCTAGACAATCGAAAAGTGCATGGAGAACATCTGAGACTTGGGAACTCATTGTCCAAGAAGCTGAGAGCCAGAGTCTCGTCTTTGTTCCACCAGAGTCTCGGCCTGTGCAATGGGTTGCAGAACAGCGCCCGGTAGATCCATCCACGTGGCTCGAGTGGGGAACTCGACCTCATCCGGCGCGGAAGTGACAGTCCACAACTTGGTCAGTTAGCCCTCTGAGAACATTTGTTGAGACATACTGCCGTCCTTAATGTGGCTGAAACAGCTAATTTCGAGTCTCGAATCAGCTCAACTAGCTTGTTTGCAAGACGTATATATTAGTATATATAGTTCGAGTTCCTGGCATGCTGAGAGGGGCCCCGCCAAACATCCCGGCTACTATTGCAGTGATAAGAATTGCAGCTTTCCCAGTAGTAGGACCCGACTAGGAGCAGTGTAGGATTGTAGGATTGGCTTAAAGCACTTTAAAGAAACATATCACTCATCTAGGAGGACAGGGAAAGTCTGGTATTGCTCCACGGTCTGGGTTTAAACAACATTCCGGCAAATAGGCAAATAGGATCGGTTGCAATGCCACGGCTGGTCCGTTTGTCACCTGCCCAGTACGTGCGTCGAATAGATCTGTGTTCGCTAGTGGGGGGGTCGACAGTGACAGCTGTGCTTCCATACCTGAGTGGAAGGCCAAGCCGGGGTTGGTACTCAGTAGTCTTCACCCTTAAGAGGAAGTTACAGGAAGGCGGTCATTGAAGAAGACAAAGAACGGGAAAAAGGAACGCGGAAACAACAGAAGTAAAAGTAAAAGTAAAAGTAGTAGAAGTAGAAATAGAGGTAGAGGTAGAAGTAGTATTAGTAGTATTTATTGTTATTAAAATTGTTTGTTATTAGTAGTAGTAGGTAGTATCTATAAGGATAATTAAGTGAACCATTCCTAGATCAGGTTCCCTAAATCTTTGGTTCATCCAAAAGTTAATTCATTTTGAATAAGAGTTTTTGTCCTCAGGTCTCAACAGGTGGAAGGGTCAACTCCACCAGGTCCTCAGGTCTTCAGCTGTGTAAAAACGAAGCAACCCCTTTCGGGATCCCTCCGTAAAACATCAAATCAGGCACAAACGAGTTCATACATCGTCAGACCGGACCAGAGTTCTGTTCTTTTATGACAAGCTTGACGTCAAACAAGGGCCTGAAAACGTGGGGAATCCTGTCAACTGGTTCCGGTGGCTGGTTTGTCAGGCACAATGGTGATCATCTTCATCACGAACATGGGAACAGTTCAGACATATCTTCTGCTTGCTGCTCCATCATCCAGGAAGCTGGACTAAGCTTGGCACCATGATGCTGTGATCCTTCTTGGATTTCTTCCGGAAACCGTACATGCGCCTTGTCGCATTCTTCACGGGACCCCTTGATGTGGTGTCACAAGTCAAGAGCAAAGGAGCTCAAATGAGTCGTCTGTCGTCACTTATCATTCCTTCTCCCTAGAGCTTTGACCATGCCAGTGTCCGCTCCAAGCCCATTGCCAGTGAGCTGTCGCCTGTGAACTTCGTACCACCGGAGTGGCCTCAGGCCAACAGGGCTGGGACAAGCAAAGGATATCCGTGATGTCCTGGCATCTGGTGCTTTGAAAGAAGTGTTTCCGACAAGTATGACAAGAAGATTGGTTGAAGAAGTGAGATCGAGTGTTGGCACAAATGTGTTAAACAGTCTAAGTCTAAGTCAGTGTTGATAGAATGGTCAGCATTATTGTGGCGGAGTCTGGCTTGGTTGCCAGTGGAGGCTGTGAACTAGGCGGAAGAGGAGCGTTCGTGTGCACCAGAGCCGATGTGAATAGATCTGACTTCGCACGAAGATTGGCTAGCCCCACAGCAAACAATTAAATTGAGATACCTGAGGGCAAGGGCACTAAGAAAGGTATGCCATGAGAATAGCACTATAGTTATGTACAGAGAGAGAGAGAGCAATGTATGTACTAGCAGCTCGCGTCTGTTGCACCACTTTTGACTTTGGTCAGGCTGTACACTGTACATCAGGACTAACGATCAAAGACGTTGTGGCTGGGACTGGCTGCTCCTCTCCCGTGGCGGCAAGCACTCGAAACGAAGGTGATTTCTCTCTCCAGCATCATCCTTGATCTTCAGCATGTTCGAGCTGTAGGTTCCAGGATGATCATGGGCTGGATCTCACATCAACTGGCTTACCGCTCGGTCCCCAAAAGTGCCTCCTCAAGGAATGCCTCAGTCGAATGACGAGGAACGACGCTCAGAAACTTGTAGCGTCTAGAAACATGCACAGCTTTCGATAGACCAAATGGCCGAAGCTTGTGCAAAGCTGGTCCCATCTGACAAGGAGCCATCACTTCATCGCAAGGAGCAAAAATCCTCAAAGATGCCAAAGGATCTTTCGGTGTCCGCTGCAAATTCACAATCACCATTTTGCCACCATCCTTCACAAGTGGAAGATCTGTCTGTTCATGCTGCTCACAGGTGGCTCACACGTTATAAGGCTTCAGTGGACACAATCTGCACTCAGACTTTGGAGCACACGTGGACAACAAAGAAACGTTAATACCATGTTTCAATTCGAGAGTCAGGCTTTCCGTCACGTGCTTCCAAACATTCCTCTGGCAAATCGCAGGCTGTCAATATGCTTAAGCTGCTACCCAGAACTAAAACCAGGTCAGCCTTCCTCAGCCCGCATTTCCACCAAAGTCCCAATGCGGTAGATGAAAAGTGACTCAGAACTCAGACGATATATATTATATACATATATAAATTTTTGACAAAACGATTGGTCCTGCTCAGCCAACACCAAAGAAACAGTTGTCGTCTGCGTGCCCCTCTTGCTCTCTCTCTCTCTCTCGCACTTTCTCTTTCTTTCTTTCTTTCTTTCTCTCTCTCTCTCTCTCTGGAGCTGGCTGGTCCGTCAGATAGACATGAACGACTATTCTCAACAGACTCACCAGCCATAGCTTTCTCCAGTTTCTGGATTTAAGCGCCGCCAAGCTTCAAACAGTGAAGCCACGCTGCATCATGTTGAGCCTCCATGGACGGGACATGCTCGAAGGTGTTTCCAAAGTTCACGATGATATCCCGCAGGGGCCCACCGCATAGCTCACAGTACCTCCCAGTGTCATTGTCTAGTCTAGAAAAGTGTGAATGTGAGAAAATAGTTATTGCTTCCGGGACACCGGACCGGGAAAAAGGGTACTCGTCCAAGCACAGACACCTACCAGTGCGGTGATCAAATAGGCCTGTGGCCGTCCGCGTTACGAAGCTTCGGTGGAAGGGCTTCAAGCAGCTCTCGCATTCTTCCACATAGCCTTTGCGCGGTCACACCACCGCAATCCTATATATGAATCTATTTTGTTTGTCTTTACCATTGGACCATTGAGAGAGCCAAAACAAACAAATCAATAAATTTTTGCAAATGGAAGGTTGCTGTTCCCGTGAAGTTCTGCAAGACAGGCTTTCGGGAGCCCCGATTTCAAGTGCAGCCCATCGACATTTGTTGATGACACAAACTTGATGAAGCCATTCTGATGCAAGCGTGAGATCGCCCAATGTGAGCGGCTTGGCTGCAACTGAGCGGATCGCTCCAGTCCCAAATCGTCACTCACCAGCTCGCCTTTGAGTTTTCGAGTCCAGACTCCTTGAGGACCTCAACGAAACGCGGCTTGGCTGCAACGGCGTTTCGAAGGAAGGTCAACAGGAAAATGAAACACGCGTCCCTAAAGAACCAAGTCCGCAAATGCGTAAACCTATTGTGGGCGGCAGCGCCGCATTGGGCAGCCGTCCAGAACCTGTGGTTCCATGTGGTTCCTTCATCCTGTCCATACCCGTCTAACAGCTTGGATAAAAGACGGAAGTGCGCACCTGAAGACATGGTCAAAGTATCCTCTAGACTACTTTCAGACAAATAAAACAAAGTTGAACACAGATTTGTTTAGAACATCTGGTCTGCAAACAAGCATCCTCGATAGTCTGGCAAGCCAATCGAAGTACTAATGCCTCCCGGGGAATCCGAAGGCTACAACCAAATGTACAGGATTGCCCAATCATGGATGTGTCCCTCAAAAATTGTGTTCGTTCTTTTACATAATATTTTTTTTGCACTCCAGTGACTACAACACAACACCACTCCAATTCACAGCATATGATTTGCTGCGCATCGACTAAGTAAGCGCGCTTTCGTGGCAAAACAAAGCACCTGCACCAGTAAAGACTACGATGTAGTTTGCTTCTTTGCACAATTCCAGCAAGTCTTGGAGCTTCCGTTGAAGCTCTTCAGGGTCCTTGGCAAACACTCGCCGCGCGCGCAAGACAACGCCGTTGTTTCGGTTTCCCCAAAGACCGCGAGGGTGCTTCATCTTCTGTTCTTTCACCAGGCTTCGTCCCGGTGTTCCGTGGCAAAGTCTTCCGCTGGGCTCAGAGTCTGAAGGTTTTGCTGCATATAACTTTTGAACCTCAGCTTTGCAGCTACCTAGAAGCCCCTACCTAGAAGCGATGGCCTCCAACCTACTAGCATCTCCTCCAACCTAAGAGCGTTGGCCTCCACCCTAACATATAACTTGTAAACCTTTGCAGTTTCACGATGCGTTGCACCGCGGAATGACTCTTCCTTTTTGGGACAACTTTTGGAAAGTTGAAACGCGGGCTAACAAATCTATCTGCTCATGCACGATTGGTTCACATGTGAACATTTCCTGTCAGTACATGCAGAAAACAAACAGCGCAGGTGTCGATGCACATCCAAAATGTTGCATCCTAGCTGCTCCAGCTCGTACTCCTCATATTCTTTTGAGGTCCAGGTGGAATCCTTCAGGCCATCGCAATCCATGTGAAAACTGTGAGAACCATGTGATTGTTTGAGATGTTGTTGTACTCACATGTTCTATGACATCTATTAAATATATCCGATCCTTTTATATAGATTGATTGAAACATCTATCAAAAACACATTAAAAAAAAAAAAAAACAAGACACATTCACGGACGTCCGCTTGTTTTTTGTGCACTCCCCTGTGTCCTTCAAAGTGCTGCTCCAAACATATCGCTGCAGGCCGTCCAAGCAGCTCTTCAGGCAATCCATCGTCAGCGATTCTCGAGCCACTCCGTTCCGGGAGTTCCCACGACACGATCCAGTCGTGCCCCATTGGAGTCCACAAAAAATGGTACGACGCTTGTGGGGGGTCATGGTTCATGTAAGCCTGGGACTGATTCAAATTGATCCAAGGCACTGCTTGGATCCTTTTGGTCAATGTCTTTCATTGTCTTTCCCTAAGAGCTAGGCCAATCTTTTGCCAGCTCTTCATTCTTGATCAGATCAGTTACAGCATATCAAGTCAAAGTTACAGTTAGTTACAAACCATTCCGTCATATATAAACTGCATTGCTCTTCACCGGCCCCTTCCGGTTTCCAGCCTCAGCCCTCTCTTAGACCTCCGACTGAAAGCACCTCAGCTCCGGCCGCACGCGGCAGGACGGCAGCCCGGGCCTCAGCGGAGCAGTGAAGCTCCACAAGGACACGCTGCGATTGTTCCACCAACGAAGGTAGCTTGATGATGCTTGATGAACTTGTCGTTGAGGCGGGGTGGCGAAAGCTAGGGGAAGAAGCAGCGCTGAGGCCTTTTTTGGCAGCAAAGCCCAGGCCGGGAGTCGCAAGCAAAGGAGGAGAGTGCCAACAGTGCCCAAAATACAAACCCACAACAGGCAACACACAACCACCCCAGCAGCAGGCAGCAGGCAGCAGGCAGCAGGCAGCAGGCAGCAGCAGCAGCAGCAAAACAGCACCAACCTGCGGCAGCAAGCAGCAGCAGCAGATGCACGATTGACCAACACCGACAAGCTTTTTACGAACAGTGAACAATCACAGCTGGGATCTCAAAAATATGGTTGCTGTTGGTGTAAACCGCTGTCTGGTGTAAACCATGATTTGGCATGATTTGGCGTGGTTGGTGTAGACGGTGTAAACCGTGGCTTCGTGTAAAGTGTGGTTTGGTGTAAACGGTGGTTGGTGTAAAACGTGGTCTGTTTGGTGTAAATGGTGGTTGGTGTAAACCATGCGGTTGGTGTAGATCGTGGTTTGGTGTAAACGGTGGTTGGTGCAAACAGAGCAGCAGCAGCAGCAGCAGCAGCAGCAAACAAATAAACACATAAACAAACAAACAAAAAAACAAACAAACAAAAAGACAAACAAACAAACAAGCAGCAAGCAGCAAAGTAGCAGCAACAGAGAACCATAGAAACAGCAGCACAGCAGCAGCGGCAAAGAAGCAGCAACAGCAACAGCACAGCGGCCACGTTGGGAACTGAGAAACGGTCAGGAGGAAGGGGGGAGTTGAACTCGCAGAGGGGGACGGTATATCCCTGATATATCAGGGGTTAGGACAGGACTCGGGTCCTGGGTTCCCAGTCCTCTTTGCTGAAGCAAGACAGACTCCAGCTAGCTACAGCTAGCTTTCGTGATTAGTCCAGCGACGAATTTTGACCGCTTGAAAGAAACCATCAGAATCAGATCCATCAGAAACCTTTTTTTGGTCCTCATCTCCGCATCTCGAGCGCCCAGGCCGAACCACCCCCAGCCAAATTGATCATGGCGTGCTCACCTCAGATCTTCCCCCAACATAGGCTGGTCACGGACATCCCCTTGTTCTGGGTTAAAGGTGCGAATAGCATGAGGCAACACCGTGGCAACACCTATGCTATATTTCCTGCATTGGACAGTCTGACAAAAAGAACTTCTAACAGAAGTCCTTTGCGTGGATGCCCCCCTCGAAGAACCAATAGAGCCAATGTGACCATTTGTGCAGATGTGTGTACACTCACTTGTACACTCTTGGTTTACCCCACCATTCGTATCTCAAATCATGTCAAGAAGTCTCCAATCTCATCACTCAGAAGGAGAGGGAACGGCATTTGCTTCGACAATGGCCGCCACCTCACAGGACCTGGTCTACCTGGCAAGTGCCGCTCAGAGCCCCTTACGGCATTCGGTGTAGTACTCGATCTTTCTGGAATCCCTTGGGATCACCCACCTGGCTTCGGCGAACTTCGCTGAACGGACGAAGTTTGGATGTTTTGGGGATATGTCCATGGTCCAAAATGCGAGAATCCAGGCGAAGCCAGGTACCAGAAGTTGCTGACCAAACATGACCAGTCACTTCATCATTAGTAGAAACAGTATGAAACAGTACTCTAAAGGATTAGGACATTGGAATGCTTTGCCCAGATGCGTTTCCAACACATAACACTTCACACTTCGCATACGTATGCTTATGTCATACTCCGCCTTGCAAACGAGCATGGACCCTGAGACTTGACCAGTGCAAGACTATTTCCTCACCACACAGTGGCTTTGCAGTTCCATGTTAATCTGCAGAGGAGTACATACATGTCCAAGTGCCCTGCGCGATCTTCTTGGTCAAGTCGAGCTCTTCCACAAAGTAGGAAGTCTGGCAGCTTATCAGAAAGGGTGACAATCAGCAAAGCAGTGTTCCCTCTTGAATTCTCTCTGTTTTTGCTGCTAGTAACAAAAAACCAAAACGTTAACAATTCATTAAAATGGGAACTACAATATAACTACTAAGCGTACTAAGAAACATATATCAACCTTATGTATTTTCGAAAGAACAATCACGCCAACAATACAATGTCCCTTTCTGGCCAATATATATATATATATAATTAATATTAATTATATATGCTTCATGCCTCCATCGAGCCTGCTGGTTGAGATAAATTGCTCCCGGATGCAATCTCATGTAAGTCTGCTTTTGGTCTAACCTCAGTTCTTGATTGGATGAGTCTGCAGTGCTTCGGCGCCTTGGCTTGCTTTCTCAGGCCCCGACGTCTCCAGTGGAGAACTGTTGCCTCGAATCACCACCTTGCAACAACTGTGGTCCCACCACCGGCTTAGCCGGTCGGACCACCGGGTTGGCCGACGATGCACTGCCTCATCGTTGTGAACACTCCCCTCTTGCTCACCGCGTGGCGAACTGGCCGCGTGGCCTGGAACTGCACAGGGTCGATGTCTCGCAGGCTCACCTCTTCCTTCGGAGCCTTCCGGCCTTTGCCTCACGCGGTGGACCGAAGTCGTGTTCCGGAACGCGGCTGGCAGCATCCTGAGTCGACCCCATACCGTCCGGTACCCTTCAACAGCCGGACCCAAGTAGTACAGCAAAACCACACAAAACCAGTTGCAAGCTGGCCTTGCGTGACTCGCATCAACATGCCAACCTGGCCAAACGAGCGTGCATATGAATCACATCGAACTACTTTACTTTTGGCCACACCAATCGACTCAGGGTTCACCCAAGGAACCTCTAGCTCCGCCTTGGGTTTCGTCGGGTCAAATCAATTCAAATTCCCACTCCAAAGTCTGGTCAACCTTGGGACCTCCTAGCGATGGCCTCCAACCTACAGTATTAGAGATGGACTCCAAGTCAATCTCGGACCTTTATGGATCACCTTGCCCACCGCATCCCCTCAAAGCACCTCTGTGTTGGTGCCAGGCTGCTGTCGTACTTGTGAGACAAGACGACCTTCGCGCAGCAGCCTGAAGGCAGAACGTGTACGAAGGTCGACCAAGAAGCGTCGACTATGGTTGTTAAGTTACAGTATCTTTTGTTGTTCAAGTAGGATTGAGTCGGATCAGCGATCAGTATTCGTCCAACAGCTTGGGCCCCGGCTCATCGAGGATCGTGGCTGTCTCCCCAAACCATCTGGCCAAATGTAGCTGTCACCAATCATTACCAATCGTATGTGAGAGCATACACTTACTATTCATTCTGAGGACAATGAAAGCCATCACCGCAGCTGCTTTCTTTCTGATTCCGCGGAACACGGAAGACAAGCGAATCCCTTCGGAATAGGCCAAACGCCATGTCCATGAGGCTGCTGTGAGCAGCATGGTGTTCCAAGGGGGACAGCTGCGTACTTTGACACAGGAGGGCTAGGCCAGCAAGGCCACACGCACTGACAAGCACTTCCAGAACGTGCTGTCATGAGCAGTGGCTCAGGTTCGTTAACCGTCAGCCAAAACTATGCCGCGTACTTGCCCAAGCACACCCCTGCCTTCTTGGCCGAGCAGGGCGGAGATCCGCAGCATGGACCAGAAATCATGCACATCTTCTACGTTAAATGATCAGCAACCAGGACCGCCTGCGATTTGAAGGCCTCAAGGTGCAACAAGGTCTCATGAGCACAGTATATCCTATCATATATCCTACAGTCCCCTCTGTAGTCCTCTGCTTTCTCTACCCGCACCTGGGCCTCCCGACAATTGGTTTCAGGAAAGGCACTCAAGAGGGACACCACCACGGAAAAGAGCAAGACACCGCCTGGCAAGAACTAACGTGTACTTCGAGCAAGCAAATCCAGTTACCAACCGCTCGAGAAATCCGTCGAATCTGCCAAAGCCAAGCTCTTTATCGGTTTACAGGGGATTGGTTGTGCAAACAAGTTGTATAAATGATCTGTGTACACAGAATCTAGTTGAAGTATGCTGAAGATTCATTTGACTGCCAACCAACCTGCCACAAATGGATCCTCCAATGGTTTATTGTCGATGATTTGCCGTCCGAAGATTCCCACCATGCCATCCCAAATCAGGGATATTCAGAGTGTCTGTCAAAGATCATCTACAATATCTACAGTAATTCTCCAACAGCCAAAGTTCCATGTTCCGCTGCCTCCCAGCAGTAGATTCACCGTGCCAACGCTTGGTCGTTTCCAAATCGAGTCCTGTCAAACTTTTGTCGGCTGCGCGCCACTTGCGTATGGCATTCGCATCTCAGGCTGAATCGCGAGAGAAATCGCATGCCGAAACCAAATTTCTGCACTAGTTACAGTACAAGCAAATCGCATGGATCACTTCCTTGTGAATCCTTGTCATAGACCTCTGTTGATAAACACTGCCCCGGTTTCAGCACTTTCCCAGCTCCTCGGCCCAGTCTTTGCACTGCTCCTTCTGCTGAGGCAAAAACCAGCAAAAGGTCAAGGCTCCCAGCAAATTCACTGCCATCCTGGCTTGGAACATTGATCGGATCAATGTCTGAAAGCCCAAAGTAAAAACTTCCAAATCTGCGATCCTGTCAACTGCCATAGAACAACCGTGCCATGCCAAGTTCAATGAGAAGGATTTTCCGTTGGTTCAAGCTTCAAGGCAGCTGAGGCAAGGGAACTTTCTATGGTGACATTCTGTGCAAGATCCCTAGCATTCAAGAAACTTGAAACCGAGGCGCGTGAAGTATGTAGCATGGGCCATGTGTGAATTGTAAAGCTGCTGCGGGGGGTGCGGGTTTGTCTTGGTCGGAAAATATGACTGGGCAATGCCGTGCAAGTCGAAGATCGGCACAAACAAGTTTTGCAGGTTGGAGTTCAGGGTGATCCCAGCATTGTGAATACTGGTCAAGAACTCGTACCTCACCCGTCACAAGGTAAAGCAAGATACACTCACAAACTCACACAGCTTAAAAAGAGTTTGCATTGCCAATGGTCCACACGAGGCTGCAGTGGCGCTAAAACTTGTCTGGCAAAAAGAGAGCTGCGACCGCTACAATGACCACACAAAGCCTGTGTTCAAATGCACTTCCTTTGGGAGGTCTCGTGTGACAATATCAGCCAAACTGTGCCAAGTTGCACAGATGCCTCATAGCCCGCTGGCGAGATCTCCACAACCGCCAAGCTTGACAAAACTTGAGCGATTCCCTGAATGATCATGAGGATGTTACCTCCAGCGTGAAGCAATTTCATGCCCACCCCATCGAAGAAGCACTTCTGCTGGGTCTGCTACAGGCAACAACAACTTTCAATCGAGCGTTTTCCGACTCTTAAACTCCAGTTTCCTTGAAGCCAGGATGCTGCCAAAGGCATAGAACCACCCATCTTGACCAACACCCCATGCCTGAGCTCTTTCTGTCAAAACTGCAGCCGTCTTCTGGAACAAAAGGACAAAATGGACAACGCATGCTGAAGGGATTGCCTCATGCTAATAGATCGGGTGCAAATGTCAACCTGTAAATATGATTTTCGTCTGGCCATCTACAGTACTAGCAGAATGTGCAGGTGGTATAGGCTAGTCACTGTGCTGATTGAAGTGCTCAAATCCATACTATGATAAAGGTGAAACAACACAACAAATATATATATATTATATATGTACGGGATACCTTTGGAATAATTACGATATATAAACCACCTTCTCAACACCCTGCATCCAAGTTTGTGTGACCAAAAGCCTCTCCACCAAAACCACAATGAAGTGGATTCCAAGCCAACCTGACCTTACTTCAGCTGGGCGGCATTGTAGATGACCATCAGCTGGAAGCCGTTGTTCAGCGCTAGGATGCCGGCAGTCCACACGAAGGTCATGCGCCAGTTCCGATGCATGAAGTGCCTGCGGAAGAGATACACACCTGAGCTTGCATCTGCCTAAAGTGACACACCAAGAAATGAGTGTATCATGGAGAATTGAAATCATGGGAACAACATAGAACAACCAAAAACATCAAAGAAACAAGCCACCAAGTCTAAGCTCCCAATCCCTTGCTGAAAAAACCGAGCACACGATGCAGGATCTGCATAAAAACCACAGCCCTCAACCACACCACAAACAATCCTTCACACAGTCAGCCATCTGCAAGGTGCCAATGAGAAACGTTGCATTCCCAGCAAATGTACCCACCTCAGTGTAAGTTGCAAATAGATGTCCTCAATCTGCAAAAACAATCAAAAACACACCTAAGATGGGCTGAAGGGCCTACCTCCAACTCCCCTCCAAGGCCCAAAAAAAGACACACTGGAAACTGCAAAGCAGGAGGGTCATGTTTCTGTGAGTGATTACTATCTGTCATCTAAGGGCACCACTGAATTCTGCAAGGTGGATGGAGCAGCAATGAAGGCAATAATGTTCCTGGGTCTAACGCTCCCACGCCGAGCATGGACCCGTCCGTCCGAGCATTAAACCCGGACAACCTTGCTACGTTCGGTTCGCGTCCTTGCTCCGGACTCGTAGCGATGCCCTTTGTTACGTTCGTAGCTTCTTTTTACTAGTAGCAATGGCCTCCAACCTAATAGCGATGGGCTCCAACCTACTATATAATCTATATATATATAGCTTCTTGTTACAAGCGTCTGCGCAGGATTCAGCATGCTAGCAATCGCCATATTGCCTCGACGAACGGGAGGTCGTGCGAAGGTTTCTGACTGGAGCTTGTGAGAAACACAGAAGCAAAGAAAAGTAGCAGTAAAGAAGGAAAAGAAAGGTTGCTGCAAGAGATGATTAACATTTGCTGCCACATCATCAGGAATGCCGTCACAACCTGTACGAGTACAAATCAAGTTCTTACTGTCTGCTCTTCGTCCAAGATTCCCAGTGCAAATATGATGAGATAGAACATGACTTTGGTTTGCATGACCTGCACATGACGGGTGCTTTTTCGATCACCCAAACATCGGCCAGCCACTTCGTCAAAACATGAAGTGCAAAAGAATTCTGGGAGCCCCTAGTAGCGTCCTTGTTCCTAGTAGTAAGGCCAGGAGCCCCTAGTAGCGATGCCAGGAGCCCCTAGTAGCTTCTTGCTACTAATTCGTTTGTTGTAACGTTTGTTCCTTGATTCATTCGTTTGTTCCTTCGTTGTTCCTTGACCAGGCTGCGGCCTTCCACATCACCTTTACCACATCACTGGCGCTGTGGGTCGTCACAACCTGTTGCGGTGGATCCTGCGGTGGTCGTCGCAGCACAGAGAACTCTTCAAACCTACGTTTTGATGAGATGAACGTGATGGGCTCAAAACAACTATGATCCTCATTGATCCTCAACATTTAGCTGCCTATGAAGCCCTCTTGGTCAAGACTCTAGTCTTCTGTTTCAGGTGGCAAGTGTCCAATGTATGCAGCTGCTCAGTAGACTTCCCTCAGCTCGCCTCCGACCCACACATCCCGCCCAGCCATGCCCACCCCAAGTCCTGAAGCAGTAGGGACATCACGATCAAGAGTGGCAAGGTGAGGCACACCAAAACGATGTGAACTTCCCAGAAGGTCAGCTCGAAAGGGAAGATGGTATCATTGCTGTCCTGGTGCTCTCAAATAGGTTTTGTCCGTGTTTCACTGCAAACTGCAAAGTTACTCCTGACATTCAGGAAGAGGCTTGAAAAAGCCAGAAATGCAAAAGTATACCAAGCTGATGAATCAAGCCAAGCAAAGCCAAGTGGCCTTCCTTTTGTCCGGAGGATAGTAATAATGTCCGTTCATCCCAAGGATTCCCAACCTCAGCGAAAAAAAACCATTGACGCAGCGCCGTGGAACGTTGGGGATTTCTTGTGCAGGGAGATGCTGAACTAAACCAGCATGGATCAGCCCATTGATTGACATATCTCAGGTCCAGTATATAATGTAGACTCTTGATTAATACAACATACTAGAACCCCCCGTGTGAAGAGGTGTTTCAATCCAAATGAGAGGGTGGGGTTATAATCAACTGTCAACATTATGGATCATTATGATAGAGTCGTCTGTGAATTGTTTCTGCTGCAAAGCTGATCTCTCTAAACTTCGGGACATCAGCAACCACCACCAGCTGACCCACGAGTGACAGCGAACCAACAAACGTCGCTGAATGCGATCAAGCAGCACATTGGTCACAGTTGTAGCTGCAAACCGAACCATCCTTATTGCAAAACACACGCGCATCACGTGGCTCTGCATTTCACGCAAATCAGCTGAGCTGGGTGCTCCTTGCAATTGAGGCAACCACAACCAAGCGTCCCATCCCGACATTCAAACTTGCCAGAGTTGGTTTTCTTTGATACATTTGATCTGCCGACGTCGCACAGTGTGGAAAACCTGTTGGTTGTTCTTGCATTGTTTTTTCATAAATAACTTTCCTCTTTATGTCTTCTTTTGCCTGTCTTTGCTGGATGCCTAAGACAGGGATTTGGAGGCCTCTTTCCGTCGCGTCGTGCATAAGTGCTCAATGCGCTCAAAAAACCCTGTTGAGTGCATCCGAGAGTCTGACCTGTAGTCAAAATGTAGCCGCGTGTTTCCGGCGCTTCCAGTTTGCTGAGTTCAATGGTCATGCCATCCCCAGCCACGTCTGAGAAGATGTAGAAGAAACACATGACCTGAGTGATCGGCCGACTCCGGCACCAAGTCTTAGTCTTGCACCTCTGGGAACACCGAGGAATACGACTCTCTCATCTCGGCGCTTCGGGCCGATTCCATGCCAAATAGCGAGGCCTCCAACCTAATAGCCTTGGGTCTATCCTATTACCAGTAACAGTGGATTTTTTTTGCTTTGGTTAGTAAAGGCCTGGTTCAACAATAGTGACAATTGTTTACTGACTGTTGCAGGTAATAGCATCAGATTGTGATATTGTATTGACAATGGCCTCCAACCTAGTAGCGATGGCCTCCAACCTAATAGCGATGGCCTCCATTCCTGCAAAGAGACCATCAAAAGCATCATATAGGTAGCAAAGTTGCCCTCGTCAGCAAGATTTTGAGCAAAACCGGCCATGAACCTGGGTCCCCCCAAACGGAAGCAAAGAATAGGTAAGCAACTTTTTCTGCAGCTACCACCGGCGCATACTGGCGCTCATGTTGTCAAAGAAACACCACCAAGAATGCAAAGTGAAAAGGCCAAGGAACGTTAAGATTGCAAGAGAAGAGCTCCAACCAAAAATGATCCTCAATTTAAAAAATAAAAAACTTTGCAATTGCAACTATCATGCAACATGTGATCGCAGCAGGAGGAAATCTGCAAATCAACCAACAAAAATGTTACAACAAGCACTCCCATCATGCTGGGCTGTCGACTCTACGTACATTGACTATGGAGCCACCCAGCACAAAGCACCTGTCTTCATGAACTGTTTAGCGTTCTCAGTGAAATCTATGGCAAGCTGGTTTCTAAACTGGCCAAGGATCCAGCCCTTCCTTCGTGAACCCAGCAAGCTCAAGCGATCCAAGAGAAGACCGTAGAAAATCTTGAAGTTCCATGGCATCTGTGTCAGGGAGACCTCAGGGGTTTTAGACATTCATCCCCGTAGACCTCATGGGAAGTATGTAAAAAAAAAAGGAACATGCGTATGCTAAAGCTGCTGAAGTATGTGTTCGTCTTGTGGTTGTTCTATCTAGTGTGATCTATATATTGTCTATATATAATCTAAAAAAATACCGGTGAAAATGATGCTGCTGGAATAGAATTGAATGGATTGAATTTGAAACTGGAGAAACATGTTGCCAGTTTAATTCGGGTGAACTGAGATGTTGCACTGCTGGATGGATGCTCGCCCCGGCTCGCCCAACGGTCCAAAGACATATTGGCAAATGGGAATGTTGATGTAGTTCGAAACGAAACCATACCTCGGGCGGCGATATCAAAGCCTCCAGTCCAGCTTGTATATACATGTTTCTGCAGCGTTTCTCTGCGTTTCAGGTGCTTTGTTCTTCTTGGTTCTATCTTCAACAAAGAAACATACAGAAACAAACTGATGGTGATGTGTGAACTCATACTAATAGAAACACCATAAAGCGCCAACAAATTTGTTGCTTGCTTGTATATAGTTGTCTGTGACTCTCTTCCCTTCCAAAACCAAGTGTCATCAAACCCACGATAGCATACATGCAATAGAGGCCCCAAACAGCCTTTTTGTCGACAGTTCCTCTTCAGCAGCGATCTCGTGGTACAAGTACAAGTGAAGATCTTTTCTGTGAACACTTAAGAATATATGATATATGTATATATATATACATGCAATGAATTACATATCATAACAACTCCTAGCACTCAATGTCTCTGCATATATGGCAGCAAAAATCAGCCAAACATGCCAAACAGGAGCATCAGTCCTGGCAGTGGATCCAATGAAACGCGGAGCACCTCTGCGATGCTTTGTCCCAAGCTCTGACTGCGTCCAAGAGAAGTGTGGGCAGCTGAGAGACCTCGAGATTTCAAGCTCCTACTCCTACTAAATACTTACTGTGACTTCAACATACACTACGAACAAGGGGAACAAACCCCGCTTAAGGGGAGGTTTTTGCAGGGATCCAATAGAATCCGTCTGGTGCATAGCCAGGGCGCCTCCACTAAGAAGGCTCCGGTCATCCACCACAGAATTCAGAAAGGATCCCACTCGATCCAGGCGGCCCAGTGACATCGCGCATGCCACGAATCCGGTTTTCCCCCGACTGGCCGCGAATCGCTGAGCCCATCGGGCCGGTTTGCAAAGATCAAGGTGCGTCGGTTTTTGCAGGAAAGACGGAGAGCTGCAAAAGAGGTCTCCGTCTTGATCCCTTGTTAAGGCATCCAACCGAAACGTGACATAACGTAACCACATTGTCAGCCACTTAGCAACCCCTTAGTCCCTTACACCTTCTAACTCACACCATCTCGACAGATGTCGAACATTGTCGAACGGCGCCCAAGCATGGAGAAATTCGTGGACATTCATGGACATTCCATGTTCAAAAGGTGGCTCAGAAATTCTGACAGGTCCGTAAGCCCTCACCGGAGAAGTGTCGAGCTCAGTCGTCAAGCGAGCTCCTCCCCTTGGTCCTTCTGTCCACCAGTCATGATTCAAATGATTCACGAACACCGGCAAACCTGTGGGCATCGGCACTTGATAGGGGGGCGAGCTCTGCAGCTGCGCAAAGAAGGTGGCCCTGCGGCGCGGGGCTCGCAACATGTTCGCCACAAGAGATCTTCGAGAATATTTGATGATGATATTATATATATATATATTTATATATGATGTTTGATGATGTTTGTATATATTTATCTTTCTTCATTTTGAGGCCATGCCGCCATATATATAATGCCATATACCCATGCCTTGTGTGAATTCAACCGGATTCCCCAAGGTAGAATGATCCGAGATGTGTAGCCAACCATCCAAAACCAACATGGGATTCGTCGCCCGAACTTGGGATTGACGAAATGCGAACATCGAACGTCTTTTGCCCTACAGGGTCACAGCTGCCACTGCCTGAGCTAGGGCATGCTTACGCAAGACATGAATCAGCAACTGCTCCTTGAGAAGAAGCTCGTTGGAAGTGTCAGGCACACGCGCCTGACAGAAATTAGGCAAACACTTACTCTCTGGAAACTTTGCAGACCCCGGCTGAAGGAGAGACTCAAAACGAAAGCACTTGATCCATCTTGATCCTGTGCTGATTTCGAGACCACGGAGCCATTTGGCGCACACATGTCGAAAAAAACAAAAAACATAAAAGGATCCAAAAGGATTGTCAGGTAATTCTGAGGCATTGGTACATTCTGTCCTTTGGTCCTTCGGTCCTGGGTCAATAGACTTTGACACAAACGACCCTGGAAGCGTGCCTCAATGGACCTCCTGGCAGGTCCAGTTCGGCCAGTTCGTGAGAAGTGACCCAGCACCATTCCGCCCATTCCTTTCCTCTACATATGATGTGTTTTTTCTAATGATCTAATGCTTTGCATATCCAGTAGTGGCGAAACTTTGCTGTAACAGAATAAACATGAGGACAAGGGCCGCTTCTTGCTGTGTCATTAGTCACTGCAATGGTGCAAACATGTTGTTTTAAAGCTAATAAGTGAATGCAGGGTGTAGCCAGTCAGTTTCGCTGTATCAGCATCCAAACAGAAAAGAAGAAACATGCCGGCGATGCAAAAAAAACTCATCAGGATTTCTGCAGAAGTGTTGTTCCAATGGCGCATCCTAAGCAGCGACTGAATCGCGCCGATGTCAGGGGTGGACCAAGAGGAGAGGGAAAAGCAAGAAAATGATACAAGCAAAAGCACTGCACCCAGCATGGAGGGTTGAGGATTGTTAAAACAAAAACTGAATCCCAGAACAATATATATATATTTATATATGTTACAGCACGTTTTGAGATGTATAACTCACAATGCCTAATACCTCCAGCAACATACTGTTGATTTCTGCTGCTGAAGTCACAAGTCCTAACCACAGCATACCAGGCACCCAAAGTCCAAACCAACCCCGATCAACACACTGCTTTTACCAAGGCCGCCTACCATGGCAATGAGGATCGCTGCTGATGGGCGTCCACGTCGCCCTGCCACCAGAGTTGATGCGGAGGGGATAATGATGGGATCTAGGTGTTGCTTTCAGATTGTGCTTTGGCAAATGCATCATCATCAGCACGGTTCACAACGGTCCACAAATGAGACGAACGAATCATATCAAGTCATCAAGACCTGCACGGCCAGCTTGCTGCCAAATGGACCTCGGCTGTGAGTACCAGTACTGAGTACAGTCCTCGTGTTTCGGAGGGATGTTGATGAACATCTGGGCGATAGGGAGAGGCCGAATGATGCTGGAAACCAACATGATAGTGGAAAAAGAATCACGGTGATGAAACATCTGTTTAACATTTGTTGGTAGTCTTATCCTACAAGCTTCACCCCGCAAGCACTGAGTTGAATTCAAGAGCATCCATTCATGCACAAATGCGTGTGTTTGTGTGTCGTTCGACGAGAATCTGGCGCCACTGTATGCGGAATACCCACATGCAGGGTCAAGTCCAGGTCGCCGATATCGATGCCAAGCCTGGCGTTTGTGAAGGGCAACATCAGACTCCAGCCACTCGTTGACAGGGTGTCCGTTTTGGGACCTCTTTTCATTCCGACTTTTCCCATATGCTGGGCTCATCCAGATGAGTAGGGCCCACGAAACTATAATCCGTAAACCTGCTAATGAGTACAATCCTCCAGAAAACTTGCAATCCGTAATCCGTGTCAAACCTGTTTAGAGACTGACATGTGGTCAATATGGCCATCAAGCAGAAAAGTCCAAACCACCTGAGCTGGGAGTTCTGGATTGCAGATGTTTGCAGTGTGTTTGGATCTGCACTTCGCCAAACCCACACAAGATTGCCATAAAGGAGAGCCGCCAAGCGTCTGCCCAAAGATCTAATCATCAATCCACAAGTCATAAGTCAGCGGGGCTCTCAGTTCAAATCCAATCGACGCAAGACCGGGCAATACAACTTACGAAAGTTTGCAATCCGTAAGTTTGATGAGGCCGTATGTTTATGCCCTGCGACTTGCTCTGTTGGCCATGCAGTCTATATTTTGCAATGCGGTCTGTTGAACAGGGATGAGATAACGAGCCGGCCGAGCTCCAAAGCATTCGTGGCAATCACACCTTAGCTGTAAAGCCGACAGACACCCAAGCTCTCGTCTGAACATATCTGAACAAACCACACACAGTATGAAAGGATATGAAAGGAACAAAACCAGTCATCTTGCTTGCCAGTCATGCGCCTTCTTATAATGGTGCCGGTCAGCTAAAGGTTCCGGTCAGCTGGCTGCCTTTTCCAACTGTCAAGGTCAATCACTCTATGTCACTGCTTCCGCTCACCCACAGCATGGCAAACGTGTCATGCAGCAAGGAATCAGCAGAAAACTGATTGCCATTGATCAGCACTATCAGTACTCAGTATCGGAACAACATGGGCCACGCCAGGAAGTGTCTTGCCGAAGGTCCACACAACACTGTTCGATATGCCCCATGGAATATTCCCATGGAAGTTATAGTTACATCTAATGGTTGCAGTTGCTTCAGCTGCTTAAACCATTGTTCAGATCTCCCATGTCTTGTCTTTATTGGAACATCTTGTGTAACGTCCAGGTTGGCACTCTGCGCTCTGGCTTGGACTGGCATCCTAGATGGTAAGTGCAGTAGAAACCGTCAAAGTTGAAAAGCCAAGTATATATAGTGACTATATATGTACAGTATATATAATATGTCCAATCGTTTGGACAAACATGATGGCACTGGATGCAAACATGCAGAACCTTGCAGAACTGCATAGAACTGCTGTAAGCAGCCAAGGCCATGCTATTGCCATGCTTTCATTCTTTTGCCGTAAACCGAGTGGTACGACTTCACTGAGATGTCGCACAAAGCAAATCACCCGTGAAGAGCCGGCGCTCCAGCTTCCTCCTGTTCAATCGATGCCCCGGCTGGGAAAACGTCAAGAGCAGCGCAAAAGAATCACCTTTTGGACACCTGTTTCATGCTGTTGAACCATGTCGAACCCAAAACCATTCAATTGCGAAACATAGCAAAACTCCTTGCGCCCGTAACCGGTTTGGGCGTTGTGATCCGCCATGAGACGCCCCTTCCCATCACTTTGGCAGAGCTCCGGACAAAGCCATGCAAGGGTGTCAAGCTGGTTCATTTGGCGCCAAAAGAATGGTCAAGCCCAAGGTGGGTCTCCTCTCCACAGCAGCGTAGCCACCACGATAGCCAGCGATTCGAGCTTGCCTTGGCGGTGGCCAATCTAGATGTTATATGAAACGTCGTCCGTGAAACGTCATCAGAACGACTCCGATTTCACAGAACGTCGTTGTGGAAAGCCCACTCCCCGGTGACGTATGGTTCTGGACATCTGGTCTTGTCCCACGTTCCCTCGCTGAGGTTGGGGACAAATCTGGGCGATCGTCCAAATGCTTGAGAGAAGCCTGGCCAGCAACAAGGACCAGGCTACCAGCAGGGGACAGCACTAAATCCATGAAGTTACATGATCCCTAAACAAGAAGGAACTTCTGAACCTTGCACATTGACATCTCTATTTCTATGTCATCTTCAGGTTGTAGACATGCTTCTTCCTGGTGGCTAGAGTACACTGTCAACATCTGTCATTTTGCCTTTCAAATCAACAATGGCCAAACCACCAATTGTTCCCACAAGTTACCAAGCACAGGTCACGCACCGCAGCACTTAGTATTGCTTCTTGCACATGGATTGCATGTGCAACACATTGCAAAACAATAGGATAGCCCGGATTTGCTGATATATGCTGCTCCTCGCTCGCGAAAGGTCCAGTGAAACGCGCGTGGAATGCAACTGGATTGAATCCCGTTGATTCAAACCAAAAATGGCTCGTAAAGCATGAAGTAGTTGAAGTCACCCGTTTGACCGACCAATTAAGACATCTGAATCTGATCTGAGAGACAAATAGACTCTGGCTGAGTCCATACCTTCTCTTTTTGATCTGATCCTTCCTCTGGTCCCCTCTCGCTACAGAAAACAGCAAGAAACCAGCCTGGAGAATGATCTCCACCAATGCACGAACCTGTTGGGAGATGGACATTTGCTTGGCCGGGTCGACGGTTTGGCTGCGCCTTCAAATTGACATTTGTGGGATCAAGTGGTGGTCAAGCGGCTGTATGGCAGGAGTCTTTTGATCAATACTATTGCGATGTCAGTTGCAATGTCACTCTGGAGTTTCTTTGGTTCTGGCTTTGTATGCTCTATCCATCCTCATGCCAAATACATGCAGTGGATTATTGGCTCAAGTCGTTTCAGCGTCCATGCTGCAGCTTGTTTCAGGATCGTCAAACAGTCACTTTTGTTCACGTTTGTTCACAGAGTCGGCCCCAACCGTGATCAGAAGCCGAAGAGCTGGGTGAGAGCCCACTGGCCCTCCTCGGAGTGCCAACCCCGCACCTGCAAAAAGCAGACCGTCCGATGGCCCCTTCGGGCTGCCTGCGCCGGTGGTGCGGTGCGGAGCTTCTTGGAAAACAGACAGAGCAAGTATTTAATCAATGTTCAATCATCAAGTCGTCTCATATGTTTGTTCTTCAAACAGAGGGAACCAAGGCAATCCCTCCACGACCATCTCTCCGAGAAGTGCCTGCGCCAGCAGCCAAGCTGCTTCTTCATAGGGTGATGATCGTGTTTTGTAACCTGGCTATAGGGCTATAGCCACCAGGGTTCGGTGGCAGAATGCCAAAACAGAACTTCCCCAATTAAAGCACACCTTAATGACTTATCAAACGACACCTGTGTATAGAGTTTTGAAGTTCAGTATATAGAAGGTTTTTTCCTTGCATTCAAGGGTCCAAAATGATCCAAGGCAATCCAAGGGTCCAAAACCAGGTAACCTGGGGGGGGGTTGAACAAGTCCCACCTGGAAACCCAGGCCAAACCGTACTAGGAACAAAGGGCATCGCTACTAGGAGCAATCGCTACCAGTAACAAATGTAACAAGAAGCTGCTAGGAGCAAGAAGCCAAACCTCAACATGTCGATCTGAATGGAGGCCACTGCACTCCGAGGCCGCTGCCCACACCCGGAGGCAGGCGCGGTGCAGCCTGCGGCCCTTCGCGCTCACCTGAGATGGAGTTCCAACCGACGACCGGTGAAAACAGGGTGCAAAATGGTCCTTGTTACTAGTAGTTTCTTACTACTAGTAGTAATTGATGCACTTGTTCTTAGTAGCGATGCACTTGTTACTGGTGCAAGTAAATGTGAATCACATCAAGTCGATTCATGGAAGATAGATATGATAGACTTTCATTATCTCCCGCCACTACCTCTGGTCAGGCCTACAGCTGCTTGGCAAGATGAGGAAGGAACTTGAAAGAAACCGCAACGCGGGGGGTCCAGGTGTTGCATGCAATCCAGTCCAAGACAACGTTCGCTTCTGATTTGTAGTTTGCTATCCAGTCCAAATCAGAGGACGTGCATGGACTCGGAATTCAAACGTGTGTAGTTTCGATCCAAGCGAACCATGACGCTTACGCTGCGAAAGCGGTCATCCCCATAAAAATATCGAATAAACACCTATGACTATGACAATGTGCCACACTCTATGAGAGGAGGGATGCTTCATCGTTGCTCCATGTTGCTCCAACCACATCGGTTTCTCCAAAGACAAAGCTCAAACCTAAAAAAGAATGACTGCAACCTCTGGTCTTATGTCTTATTTCAAATATCAGAAGTTCCTTGGAGGAAGAGTCACATGGATGGTGTATGACATTAGCCTTATTTCCACCGATGGATGCTTTTCGAAACGAGAATGAACACCGTTTTGGGCCTTGAAACGCCGCTCGGTTCCTCCTGGGCCCCCCAGCTGTGGCGGGCTCGCTTCCGAGCGTTTTGCTCTTCTCGGCTCGGCTGGCCTGGCAAGGCCTGTGCCATAAAGAGGTTCAGTCGAATGTGCATTCGAGTCATTCTTGGATACTTTTTGAATCATGTCAGGTTCTATCGTTAAGTACGGGTCGAGACCCAAAATTCAGCGATAGCATCTATGAGTGATTCTCAAAACTACTTCATGGATAACGCTGTCCAAGGTCTCCCTCTGTTCAACGAGTCAGTCCTCACACTTTCGGATAAAAAAACAAAACACATTTTAGAACTCTATGTTTGTACAGTGTTCGTAATGCAAAGGCTCAGAAATGTACAATGATGAGCAGGGAAGATGTGAACAGGCGGGTGTGGCACCGTAGTGTCAACCAAATGAAACAACACCCAGATGTGAAATGATGAATATTTGCTTGGATATGAAAGGCTGCTCATAGAAACTATACAGTAGAAATGCACGCAGATTGAAAGGATCCTTGATCCGCGACCAAAAGTGTATTGAATCGATGATCATTGTGCACAATGGTTCCAGCACATTCCATCAATCCACAATCTGATGCTGCTGCCCAAACGTCCGAGGTGCGGCGCGCTGCACACCTCCAACAGGGGCGGGTTCCAAAGGCAAAACCTGGGTGGTTGCGAGGAGAGAAGTAGCAAAGTTTGCCCCAGTGGTCTGAGTCTAAGCCGTCACAATATCTGCAGACGCTGTCACTACGACTAACCGGCCAAGCATTGCTTTGCAATCCCAGCAACTGCCGGTCGCCCCGGCCAGCGGTGTCTTCATCCACCACGCAAACCTCTTCCCCTGTGTCAGATCTGATTCAAGCTGCCCCTCTTCCCAATCGCTCTCCACCAATTTGTCAACATGAGCTAGAATTGCTGCAATTTCTATCTCAGTTTGACCAGGAGTCACAAACAGCGGGTACTTAAAAGGCAAATTGAGCTTGTGCTGCATGTTCGACGTGTCACCCACATCCTTGTCAAGCTCTGCACCCAGCATCTGTCCGCCTGGTTCAAGCGCTAGCAGCTTCGTGAAAAAAGCTCCAGCCTTGGTGCATGCGCCACCAGTCGCCAGCTGACCGAACAATCTCTCTTCCCTCGACACGACACATGAACGAAATGAAGTCATAATACATGTTTGCTGTCACATATAAAAATATATATATTACACATAGTAAAAATAGATGTTTTGAGGCTGACAATTAGACTATATACTGTAATGATATATTAATGCCCGTAGTGCATCTGCGATATTCGGGGCCCTTGTAGCCCCGCGCAGTGTGAGGGAACAATATTAAGTAATATGTGTATGTATATATATATATATTTAGGGAGAGAGAGACTTTCAACCACCATGTTGACTCGATGTTCTGACCAAAATGTGGAACCTGACAAAGAGGACCTTCTGCACCCAACAGGCATGTGTCTATCTGAGTGAGCGACATTGCACATAGTTGCTGAGCAGGCAATGAACAAGGGCGAGGTCTTGTAGTGCTTCAGCCTTCGCTGTTGAGGGTCAGCTATCACATCTCAAACCGAGCACACAATCACAAACATGAAACAAGGGACTGATTCCACATCGGGCTGATGTTCACTGTGCGAAGTTTCCATGAAAGGCTCATGGATGGAAGGACTGTTGCGGGCTCGCAGTCTTTGAGGAGTACACAAACTGTGTTCAAGTGACACAACATACAACAAAAATTTTAGTGGTTACCGCACTTTGGATTGAATGCATGGGGGGGGGTTCCTTGTGTTGTTCCCTTGGTGCTGCTTCGAAACGAAGGGGGCGGAAAGAAAAGCTTCAAACAACATGACGCAACCACGTAGACTACAGAAGGAGACCGCGACTTTTGCAACTGGTCACATCAAGAAGAAGAACACTGCTGGGCATGAACCCACAATAACTATAATCATTCTATATTGGGTCTATCCTAATACCTGTAACAGTGGATGATGATAGTTACTTTTAAAGGCCTTCTTCAAAAATAGTTATAACTGTTTACTGACTGTTACAGGTAACAGGACAAACCCAACGTGAAACTCTTGGCTCGGCTCTCATTGCCGCCAAGCTGACCACGTACAATAGGTATAGGCACTATAACCTCCCTCGTGGCTTGGTCACGGTGGTTGGATGGGCTTGTTGTCTGGAGGATCTCATCACCAGCAAAGAACTGCTGCATAGTACTAATAGAAGTATTAAGTATTCAAATGTATTCAATAGTATTCATAATTTCAAGCCCCGCCGACAAACACTTGAATATATCTTATCCGATCCCGACCCGTCCGGAGTCGACGATCCGCGTCGATCCGTCCCCCGGGCGCCCGCGCACTCTCCGAAAGCGGCGCAGGAGCAGCGCAGCGTGAGAGCCGAAGCTTCCTCGATAGACGTGCGCCTGATGTTGCCGGTTGGAACGGGTGACGTTTTTCGGGTGAACACTGGCAGTTTTTGTTGGAGACGACCAAGAGCGACGAAAAGGCAAACGGTCTAAGCCGAGCCGAAGAAACGGAGAATTGAAATGAACGGGGTATCACCTGTGTGTGACTTTTTGCTGGGAAGATTGGAGAGATGGAGCACTTGCCTCATAATTACTTTAAGTATCGTGAACATGCGCAATTGGAGGCATTTTTGATATTTTGCTGCGGTGTTTACAATGGTTCTGCGCGTGCCTCATCAAGGACTACGTGACGCAGATTTTCGAGCCTCATCGACGCTGTGGCACCAAGAAACAGCTTGTCAGTTGCAACACACTTTCTGAGAACTGCTGTCAAGCAACCGTCGCCCTTCAAATAAACACAGGAATTTGCTAGGCGTTCATGGAAATTCCTGAGAGGCCATAATGATCCATAATGTATTTGAGACTGTTGACAGCTGCTATTTGCAGCTGCCAAATGTTAGGGCCGAATTCCCTGCCAAGCAAATCCCAAGGGAAAGTACCCATCTATCCCGAGCCGCCGACACATGCCGCCATTTCAAGTGTGATGATAGGATGGTGAAATGCAGCATATCCGGATTGGTCAGGAAGACATTGCCTGGATCTGAAGAGTACAAACTGCATGCAAAACAGGACGCGAATGGGTACCGATTTGACAACCACAAAGCTCATCCTTGAGTCCCTAGACCAAAAGCGACACATGTTGACAGTAGTTGTACCTTCATGAGGCGGCAAGTGACCTGCAGACCATGCCAAGTCGCTGCTTTTCAACAGGCGTGCTCGGTCATCTTTGGGCGTGTCTCCGTCAAAAGTGCATACGCCGAGACCGGGGCAAACCTGGCAACACTAGCCAATACAGGGCATTTGCAACAGTAACTGTCAATATTCCGATGACAACTGCGAGTTGTCGACCCCCAGAATTTGCCGGCAAAGCCACCTAGGGCCTAGGCCTAGGGCCACCAAATTGTTGGGATACTCTAAACGGAAAACATCGTTGTGCTCTTTTCTGCTGTTGAAATGTCCAACTTTATGAATCTTCCAACTAACCCATCTCAAATTGTAAGACATAGGACCAACAAACAAGCACGAAGAAACCAGCCAAGTAGAGTCACAAACCAACTACATTAGGTGGAGGCCATCGCTACTAGGGTGGAGGCCATCGCTACTAGGGTGGAGGCCATCGCTAATAGGCGGAGGCCCTCGCTACTAGTAACAAGAAGCTACTAGTTTTTACATCTAAAGTCCATCTCTGCAGATCTCGACAGATGTTTCTTTGTCCAATCCTTGATGTCATCAAACCTTGGAACATCTTAGAACCCTCACCGGCCTGCTGGAAGAGCTTTTGCAGTTTCCCAAGCCTGGCTCATGTTCACTTCTTTCCCGGTGTTTTATCTATCTGAGGGAAACACAGCTTGATCAGGCTGGATAGGGCTTACACTCACACATACTCACACATACTCACGCCCTCATCTGTCTTCCTTTCACGGCCACTTGTTGACTGCAAAATGTGCTGGGGCAAACACAAAAAGCCCATGAACTGCGATTCTGGGCAGTGAGTGCAATGATGTGCGAAGCATGTCAGTTCCACTGGTCCTGCGCAAGTGCCTGAGCCGCAAATCGGACAAAGTCCCCAGAGGGAGCAACCATGGAATGCAAAGGGAGGAGGAAATTAAGTTTGTGCAAGGATGTTTTAGCGTTCTTTTTGTTCCCGTTGAAGCGTTCTTGACAGTACATTTGCTGGTTGGGAGAAGGGTGTCCCGCTCCACGTCAAGTTAAGCTGCTCAAGGTTGGGGATGTAGCCTTAGAAAGTTGCATATTCCTTCATGTTTGTCAATTTTGATATCCAATTCGGGATCTCTATCAGCAAGCAAGTGGTCCCGCCTGGCCGTCTGGTCTTTCTTTCGCACTCGCAAAGAACCCCCACTAGCCATCGACAGGCCAGCATCGTCCTTGAGTCTTTCTCATCGTTCTACATTGCATCATTGCACGCCTTCGTCGGGAAGAGCACCAATGCCTTTGAGTTTGGGTCTCTTCGATATGCCTTGCCAGGGTAGCCAAGACGATTCGATTGGCAACTATCAAATAGCTTGTCTCCTCCTCACACAGCAGCCTTCTTCCAAAGCACCCTAAGTGTGTCCAAAAATGTGTCAAGGAAAGATGTGAACGTAGATGAGCACATCGGCACATCGTTGTGATAACCATCGAATCTAGCATTTCCCTGCAGGGGGATAGAAATCACTAAAAGATCAAGAACTATATAGTAAGAAAATATGTGCCTGGGCCTAACAACACAAAGAATCGTTTCAAGAATCTTGGTCACACAAGAAGCAATCTCATTTCACATTTGCATGAAATTCCCGTGCCTCCAGGATCGGCAACGCAAACGCCAAAGACTTGCCACTGGAGGTGCCGGTGGTCAGGCACAGGTGCTTCTTTTTTCCCAGGACCTCACCAAGGCACAGGGTCCATGCTTAAGACGATGACAATGTGACAACATGTGATAACCATGATTTGGAGGTGTTTTTCACGCCAGATCTCTGTTAGATCAGATTGAACAAATGCTAGACAAATGAATGTAGTCTGCGCAAAAAATAAAAATAAACTGTCCGGACGAGTGATTCGTCCTGCCGGTCGATGAAGCATCTTCTGCGGAAGATCCGATGACTCAGTCATTTTGACCAAAACGATTGTGCAAAAGAAATGCCTCAGCACCAAACGTGGCGCATCCTCATCATCCTCCAACTTGCCCTTTTTGACAACGCGAGTGACTCGGAAAATGTGAGAAACCACAAAAAAATCAGCCACTGGCAAAGCCTCTTGAACATCTTACATTGAATGCACTTGCACTCTCAAGAAGTCTTGCCATACCTTTCAAGCATGTAAAAGGCTGCACCTGCGCTGGGCACTGGACTATAGACTATGGTGTCAGCTTAGCCGAACCCATGGCCCTTCATCCCATGCTCAAGTCAACACTGTTGCTGATCGAGTCATGAATTTTCCTGTACAGCTACTATACACGGTGACTTCGGCGAGCTACCAACACGCACACCGAATCTAGCCAAATACTGGAATGTGGAATGGTGTCGGCATCTGAAGCTTTTGACAACCCAAAGGAGAGCATCCGATACGGGTCAAGAACTCAATGGTCTTTCTCAGGCGCTTTACAACCGTCAGATTTTCACCAAGATTTACAATCCTCTAGGTCATCTGGGCTTGGCCGCCGCTTTTGCGGACGCCGCGGCACCGGTGTAGGTCCCTGTGAAGGCCAAATCACTCCCCACGCTGATTCGCCGCTCCAGGCGCGGCTTCTCACGCACGTTGATGGTCGTCACCTGTCGTTCGGTCGGACCGAGGTTGTCGAGCGGGCATTTTGTACCTACAAATGCGGCACCCCAGTGTGCCAGGTAGAAACCTTAAGTCTCTATAATGTTGGGTTGGGGGTTGGCCATAGTGGGCTTACATAAATTTGCCAGAAAAATGCGTTCCCTATAAAATCAACCCTTCCAAGCCACACAAAGAGTCCAACAAATGCCACGCGTCATCCCGATGCATTTCCCGATGTGGTTTGCCAAGCGTGTCCCGATGCATTTACCGATGTGTTTCCCGATGCGAGTTCCGATGCACTTCCCGATGCGCCCACCTTTTCCTGACAGAATCTGACATTCACTGATTCTGAATCCCCACAGACCTGATCACAAAATGGTTTGACTTCCAAAACGGTTTGGTGCTGGAGTTAATTGTCAAAACAGCTTGGCACCCAAGTCTTGACTCCAAACCAGTTTGCTGATGGAGTTTCAAAGTAAAAGCGGATTGACACCAAAGTGGTGACTTCCAAAACCGTTTTATTTCCAAAACAGTTTGGTGCTGGAGTTCAATGTCAAAACAGTTTGGCACCAGAGGTTTTACTCTAAACCAGTTTGCTGCTGGAGCTTCTGCTGGGGTTTCAAAGTCCAAAGCGGTTTGACACCCAAGTTTTTAACTTCCAAAACGGTTTGGTGCTGGAGCTATATAAATGTCAAAACAGTTTGGGCACCAGAATCTTGACTCCAAGCCCGTTTGCTGCTGGAGTTTCTGCTGGAGTTTCAAAGTCCAAGCCGGTTTGACACCCAAGCTTATTGCCTTCCAAAGTGGCTTGACTTCCACAGCCGGTTTGGCGCTGGAGTTAAATGTCAAAACAGCTTGGCGCCCAAGATCATGAGCGTCCGGCAGGATACGAACGTTTGTGGAGTCAAGTCTTTGGTGACATCAGGTTTTGACTTTTGAGCCACAGCACCGAACCTTTGTTCCCCACCTGTCAGGTGAGAGTTGTTAGATTTTATGTTAGCCCCATCTCCTCCGCCTCCTCCTTCTCCTCCTCGTCCTCCTCCGCCAACCCTCAACCACGACCATCCACGCCCAGTGTTCCCTGCCGGACCTCAACCACGACCTTCCACGCCCAGCGTTCCCCGCCGGACCTCAACCACGACCATCCGCGCCCAGTGTTCCCTGCCGGAC